CCCCCCAGGGAGGACAGTCTAGAGGAGCTGATGCAAAAACTTAAAAATAACAGGAGCCTGGTTTCCTTTATTTCAAAAGCAGACAGACTCCGGCTTCTCAGTAATCTGCAACCTCGTTATTGGGGTACAGCGTCGTTCAGTAACCAGAGTTCATAACAATAACGCAGAGTAATGCCAATGATTAAGTTCTGTGTAGCTCTTCTACTTGAAGCAGGAAGCCATGATATATCTTGGAAAAGCTTTTATTAAAAACCAGCTTTGCTCGTGTGGAAAGTTTACCGACAGAAGGCATCTCATGCCTTGCCAGTCACAGTCAGTGGAGTAGCGGGTTGCCATCCACGGGACTGAGCTGGCACGAGGTCATTCGAGCACTCACGGTCTTTTCTCCCGCCTTCCCCCCTTTAGCGCCTCTGTTTGAACGGGAACACAGGACAAGAGGTGATCATCAATTCTGGCCTGGAAACCGTAGAAGCCTTGGCTTTCGAACCCCTCAGCCAGTTACTTTATTGGGTGGACTCTGGCTTTAAAAAGATTGAGGTAGGTATATCCCATGCTGTCCTTAATGAAGTGAGCGGGGGTGGCGGGGGCTACCTGGGCTTTGAGCCGGGTTAGGCACAGGAGGTGGAGCCGGTGGAGCCGGTGTCTGACTTCTCTGGAAGTCCTTGGAGAATTCCAGAGGCTGGACCAGCAGAGCCTCCAGCAAGGGAAGAAAAGGGGGATAGTTTCAGAGTTCTTGCTCGTTGTCCTGAGGGTCCCACATGAGAACAGGATGCCTGAACCCATCAAGCAGAGATTTCATTAAGATGCCCGGAGCGGTTCTGTTTTGGCTAGTCGAGGCGCGTGGTGGTAACAATGACGATAATTACATAACACCATAGCACGAGTGTAGTGCTGTATTATCAGTGCTCTAGTATTATTGGAGTTGATTGGAGTAATTAAGATGATATCATGATCATGATTATGATTATTGATGACAACGAGCACTTACTTTGTGCCAAGCCCGGTGGGAAGCCCTTGGCTTGAATTATTGGATTCAGTCCTCACGACAGCTCTGCTAACAGTGCTCTGATTCTCCCACTTGATTTATCTGCCCCTTAGCGACCTGACGCAGCGTGAGAGGAAGACAGGGCCTCTCCAACACCAAAGTCATGGTGTCATAGGCACACTCGCCTCTCGGAAGGCACTGCTGAGCCCCTGGGACATTGTGTCCATCCCTCTTTGTACTGACTAGGGGGAGGCATGGTGTACGGGTTACACGTGGGAAGCTCAGTAGAGGCAAGGAGGCACCGTCAGGAGAAGTCGCAAAGACAAACCCCAAAGTCGGGAGCCAGACCTGGGTTCAGTCTTCATTCTGGTAGCTTAAGTGTCTTGGGCAAGTTTCTTATCCCCTGAAGCTTCAGTTCTGAGTCTGTGAGGCAGAAGTTCATTGATCCACACCGTCGTTGGAGGGGGGCTCTTTCTTGCATGGTGCTTGCCAGGTGTGGTTCAAGGCTGTGAGGAAACAGACGTAGGTGAGACACTCAAGTTCCTGTTCTGAGAGAGAGGAGATGATAGTAGAGGAGGCAAACCGAGGAAGACCTACGTCCGTTGGTTGTGTCAGCGATGAGTCCTAGAGAGACTCTCTAACGGGCAGTGTGACCGTGTGACTGCGGAGGGGGGCAGCGTTATACAAGGTGCACGGGAAGGCCTTCGGGATGTGACATCCGAGCCGAGGACAGTCTGTGTCCCCCTCACAGTGCGGTTGAGGAAAGCGAGTGAAAAGACCCACGGTGCCTGACACGTACGAGTGCAGCGCTGGTGGTCTTGTTATTCTCGTTTCCTTCCTTCCTTCCTTTAATCGTGTGTGGTCAGCACTCTGCCAGGTGCTGGAGGGATGCCGGAGAGCGTGCGTGTGCACAAGCTCACAGCATACGACACAGGTGCTGTTTGTGTGAAATGGTAAGACGAGTCACCGGCAAGAACTGTAGATGCTCGTTGAGGAAGGCTTGTCAGAAGAGTTAGCCGAGGAGCCGGGCCTGGAGGGGCCTTCTGAAGGAGAGAGGTTCGGAAAGAGAGATGCGATTTGATTACAGAGCAAAGGACAGGCCCGGGAGTGGGTATGGCGCGAGTAGAGGGATGAGGAGGGGCATGTCAGGCTTAGAGAGCCATGAGAAGGCCAGCCTCCCCGAAGTTGTAGGGGCTGAAGTGGACGAGACCGAGCATGGAGGAGAGAGACTTAGAAGTCCGTGGAGATTCTTAATTGGAAGTCTGGGACGTTGCGTGTTTGTTTTGTGGACAGTGTGGAGCCATTGGTGGCTTTGGAGCATGGAGCAACATAGGTGGGTTTAGTCAGTAATACGTACTGAGTACTTTGTGCAGACCTGTCCTCGTGCCCCCAGAACCGGGGCATGGGCAGCAGCACTGCGGTCGGACCACGTAAGAATTGTCACATGGGCCCGAGGAGGGAACGGCTCATTCTGACCGGAAGTCAGGGCAGGGTTCCCAGGTGAGCCTGCAGGGGAATCTGGCAGCCGGAGAGGCACGTGTCCAGAGGTGGCAGCCCAGCAGGAAACCGTGAGGTGGGCTTTCAAGGAGCTCAGATCCATCCTGGCCTCCCCTCCGGCCCCTCCCCCCTCCTTTTCCTGTCAGGTAGCCAATCCAGACGGCGACTTCCGGCTCACGATCGTCAACGCCTCCGTGCTCGACAGGCCCAGGGCTCTGGTCCTCCTGCCCCAAGACGGGTGAGTGTGGCCCCAGAGGAAATCAGCATGTGGCCGATGTCGCAACAGACAGATGCTCGTGGGAACGCAGACTGTCGGACACAGGCTTGGTCTCTGATGATGGTGGTTGAAATAGCCTGGTGACTTTGAGTCTTGAAACTAGAGCTCAGTCACGTTGTCGGTTAACTCCATTCCCTTTTTGGTAGCAAGTCTCAGAGTCTCCACATCCACACGTCTCACGTCTGGGGGGTGTTTCTCCTACGAAAGGTGTTATTGAAAGTCTCTCCACAGACGTAGCGTAGTCGGGCCTGGTTGGATAGTGTAAGGATTCTTTATCTCGAGTTTGGCACACAATGCAAACATATGATCCCTTCTGTCTCCAACCTGCCTGCGCCCCACCGCCCACCCCAGCTTGGGTGGGTTTTCTTTTTTTTTTTTTTTTTCTTTTTTAAATATTTATTTGATAGAGAGAGAGATCACAAGTAGGCAGAGAAGCAGGCAGAGAGAGAGGGGGAAGCGGGCTTCTTGCTGAGCAGAGAGCCCCATGTGGGGCTCGATCCCAGGACCCTGAGATCATAACCCTGGCCGAAGGCAGAGGCTTAACCTACTGAGCCACCCAGGTGCCCCGGGTGGGTTTTCTTACTAGCGATTTATATGCACCTGGGAAATGCAAAGGTGCTTTTTATCAGTTTCTTAACTGAAGGAAACATAGCTGAAAGGAAATTCTGAGTTAGGCTTTCTATCCTTCTAGTATTTATGATAGAAAATTAGATCTTTTTTAAATTTTTAAAATTTATATATTATTTTTTTTAAAGATTATTTATTTATTTATTTGACAGAGACCAAAAGCAGGCAGAGAGGGAGAGAAGCAGGCTCCCCGCCGAGCAGAGAACCCGATTCGGGGCTCAATCTCAGGACCCTGAGATCATAACCTGAGGCGAAGGCAGAGGCTTTAACCCACTGAGACACCCAGGCGGCCCTAGATCTTTTTTTTAAAAGAAAAAATATATATGTGCTTCATTAAGAATTACAAGAGAACAGAAGTTTATGAAAGGAAAAACAGGGGCGCCTGGGTGGCTCAGTGGGTTTAGGTCCTCTGCCTTCAGCTTGGGTTGTGATCCCGGGGTCCTGGGATTGAGCCCTGCATCGGGCTCTCTGCTCATCGGGGAGCCTGCTTCCTCCTCTCTCTCTGCCTGCCTCTATGCCTACTTGTGATCTCTCTCTCAATAAAAATTAAAAAAAAAAAAAAAAGAAATGAAAAACATTTTTTTCCTTCTTTTTCACTCTTAATCCTTCTCCCTCACACTTCTAGGGGTAATCTTGGTTAGTAGTTTCTTGTATATCATTCAGAATTCTTTTTTACCCACGTGCAAGCACATAGCCTTAAGACACAGGGACACACACACATACACACACACACACACTCAGGCATCAAATAGAAATGTAGATACGGGCTGTTCTGCCTGTTTTCAAAACATTTAACGTGGGTTGAAGATGACCTTTTTGTGTGAGCAAACCTGGAAACAGGGAGATTTTCAGGCATCAAAATACTCTTTTGTATGTACCATCGTGTTTCATTTTCTCTGTAGATTAACATGTTGGCGTGTATACACATATATCCCCCTTAAAGTGTGTGTGTTTTTAAACACACATAACACCAGTGTCATTTTTTTGCTGGTGTGAACAGTGCTTCGATGAATGTCGTGGTACGTTGTCTTGACATAACCTGATTACATCTGTGGATAAATTCCAGCAGAGGAATTTCTGGATCTAGAAATTTGGTGGCGTTAAGTATTATAATTACCATTTACAATAATCATACTGCTGTCCTAACTGGCTCTATGGTTCTGGAGGCTTCTTACCTCCTGGGGTAGCATTTGACTCCCTAGGTCGGATGTGATGTGCGTTCTTCTCCCGTTTTGACCAGGGTGATGTTCTGGACCGACTGGGGAGACCTGAAGCCGGGAATCTATCGGAGCAACATGGACGGCTCGGCTGTCCATCGTCTCGTGTCAGAGGATGTGAAATGGCCCAATGGCATCTCTGTGGATGACCAGTGGGTCTACTGGACAGACGCCTACCTGGACTGCATCGAGCGGATCACTTTTGACGGCCAGCAGCGCTCCATCATCCTGGACAACCTCCCGCACCCCTACGCCATTGCCGTCTTTAAGGTGGGGCCGCCTTTGCTCCCAGCTTCGGGCAGTCTGGTAGAGCGGGGGAAGAGCTGCCCATGGGTTTTTGCAGAGCTGCTTGTCTGACTGACTTCTAGAAAATCAGCTCCCTTCTGCCTTTGAGGCTGTTGCCTTTAGCTCATCTGGATGGATTTCAGACAGAGTTAGCAGGCATCTGGGCGACTCACTGTTCCCGGTTCAGAAGGTTAAAAGTTGAGGTTGTTTCATAGAAAAATCCCCATTTGCCCCCGAGTGCTGGCAGTTTGGGCTCAGTGTCCTTATCTCTTGCTCAGCTCGTGTCCTGATGGGCTCCGATGGGCTCCGTCCCACCTGTGTGGCCTGCCACTGCTGCTTTGACTCTAGAGAACAGAATGGTTGGTTTTTCCTGCCACTGGGAAGCAGATTTCAAACTGAAGGGTTGGGCTGTGGTCAAACTCTATGCTGCTTAGATAGTTTCTGTCGGGCCATCCGGGCCGTTCCTTCATCGTGGCTCTTGGGTGAGGTCTGGAAAAATCCACTGTCTTGCGTTTCGGTGGAGATCTTGGTTGGGCTGATCTCTCACCACTGCATGTTAGGTGTCCTTTGTATGGGGGAGCCCTTGTTCATCCTGAGGGCCCAGGATCGGAGACCCAGGAGCTGGACTGATGAGCAAGGGCTTTCTTTCTAGAACGAGATCTACTGGGATGACTGGTCGCAGCTCAGCATCTTCCGAGCTTCCAAATACAGTGGCTCCCAGATGGCGGTTCTCGCGAGTCAGCTCACGGGGCTGATGGACATGAAGATTTTCTACAAGGGCAAGACGACTGGTAAGGCTGCATCACCGGTGCCATCTCCCTCGCGCGCTGGTCTCCGGGAAGGGGCTGGGTGTGGGCAATCTCCGCTCAGGCGGGAGCTGGCAGCCTGCGTCTTTCTTGTCACGACAACATGCCCATTATTTAATTTCTGCCTAATGACATCTTAATTTCTTTTCTAATGGTACACAAACAGCTGGAAGACAGCATGTTTTCGCCTGCCTAGAGTGTGATCCTTGGTGGGTAATTACACCCTCCTCCTGCCTTTGGCCCCTGACTGATTGGTGGCGTAGCTTCTGCAGCTGGAGAGTCCCAGCGTGCGCTAACTCCCCATTTGGCAACCTCACAGGGAGCCGTGCTGTGCTGAGTCTGATGCCAGTTGCTGCCTCCCGACGGGAGTCCCATCATGTCCTCTGCTTGCCCCGATGACCTGTTGCTCACTGAGCACCTACCTCCCTTCTAATGCGAGGTGTCATCATTTGACACATGGATTCACCTGTCCCCGCCTGAAACTCTTAAACCACACAAAGGAGGAGATGGGTCTTTTTTTTTTTTCCCCCCTCAACAGTTTGGCCACTGCCTAGCATTGAGTAGGGCTCAGCATTTGTTGAAAGAGGTCATGAAAAGGGACTGGTTGCCAGTGGGTGCAGACAGGAGCTATCTTAAAGCTTGCTGGGTGAGGCTTCAAGAGCTTCTCCAAGCTTGTGACCCGCTCGCTGGTCCTGGAGACCAAGACTGTGCCACAGAAAGCCTCCTGCCTCACTTCCTGCCTTCTCCCTCCGTGTGCTCCCCGCACCGTTGGCTCTACAAGACAGAGAGCAGGATGGTCGGAGAAGAGTAGTCCCTTTAAGAAGCACCCTGTTTATCGCAGTGGGATTAAATAGCACCCTGGGGTCGGCTGACTCGCCTTTATTGACTGACCAGCTGCTGGGTTTCTGTTTGGCACTAGAATGTTGATGTTGTTTTGTGGGTTTTGGCTGGCGCTGTGCTAGGAGAAGATTGACAAAGGGAGAGAATAGGGTTGCAGATAGCATTGTTATTTTGGGGGGACCAGTGAAGATAGCATTAAGAACACCCTTGTGAAATGGTAAAGAATGTTCGAAATGTAAGTCTGCCTTAGTGTTCTGTCTTTGCACCGGACCTGTGGTGTGGGCAGGGCTGGTGTCACCATCCATGGTTCACAGATCGGGGAACGGCATCTCAGAGGCCAACGAGCTTTCTCAAAGGTCCCTCGCTAGCTCAGGAGCAGGGCCTTTGTTCCAGTTCTGCCGCTAAACCGAGGAGTCACATTCTTCTCGGAGGAAGTGCCTGTTTGTTGTTGTTATTTTTTTTAATTTTTTTAATATATTTTTTAAAGATTTATTTATTTGACAGAGAGAGACACAGCAAGAGAGGGAACACAAGCAGGGGGAGTGGGAGAGGGAGAAGCAGGCTTCCCACCGAGCAGAGAGCCCGATGCGGGGCTCAATCCCAGGACCCTGGGATCATGACCTGAGCCAAAGGCAGATGCTTAATGACTGAGCCGCCCAGGTGCCCCTATATTATTTGTGTTGTCTCCTCAACACATACAAGACTGCCCATTAATCACATGTATGATAATAATACACATAACAACCTACGTTTATTAAGGGATCACCGTGTCGGAAGCCCCACACCGATGCGCTTTGTGGGCTCAAATAACCTCCATTCATCTTCCCCAAATCCACGTGTACTGAATACAGTTCCATTTTTTTAGGTGAGAACGTGAAAGTCAGGTTCACGTTTCTACATCACACGTTTAGTAAGTGGTAAGAATTTGAATCATGGCCTAATGGACTTCTGAGCTGGACTTCGAGAAAACCGTTGGGCTCTGCTCCCTTTGTCATCCCACGGGGGAGCAGCCATGCCCTGGCATATGACAGCGATGCAGAAGTACTGGATTCTGATGGATTCTTGTTTGTGATAGAAATTTTGTTCAGTTGGAACGTTTGTCCATTGGGTTACTTGTTTATAAACAGACTCCTCTCTTAATCTTTATGTCTGCTGGGTTTTTATGCAGGGTCACTGGAATCTGTTCTTCATAAAGAGTGCTTTTTCTTTAAAGAGCTTCCTTTGCAAGGCTGTCGATATATCCAGGGGGTGTTACAATGAATGAAAATATTTTGGAGCTCTGGGAGTTGTCCTTCAGACTCGGCAGTAAGCCACGGCTTTTAAATACCTACAGTGAAGGCAGATTCTCAGTGGGGTGGATTTGAGCTTGATAATTCTCAAGCGTAGAGATAGTTAAGCAAGGTAGCACCGTTTCTGGCTCCTTAATGGGTTCTGGAGGAATTTTCCAAAAGGAAATCTGAGTGTGTTCTGAATCTGCCCCATGAAGACATTGTGCAGCCGTTTAATCTTCAAAGGGGACGTCTTTGGAGGTGATGACTGTCACTTGTCCACTCTTCACATCTGCCCACCTTGCCCACAGGGTACTGGAGCATCCTGTATGAAGACTGTGTGGCTGTGTTCTGGTGGAATTCTGCTGACTGCTCCTTCCATGCTCGCCCAGGTTTTCTGTGTCTTTGTAGCACCCCATAAGCGCCTGCCCTGCCTACCTCCTGGGGTCCATGACTCGGTCTGCTCGGTCTGGGGTGTGCCCCTGGTTACAGCCTCTCAGACTGTATACACCTCTGTCCAGACCAGCCTCCTGAAATGCCGCAGCCCGTTTGGGGTTCCGTGCTCGTAGCTTTTGCTTCTTTGGGTGGGAGCATTTCACATGCTCCCCACGTGACAATGTTAGTCATGCTATTTTACAGACCTAGCCCCATGTGAAATTGTCATCCTGTCCCCGAGTATTTTTCAGATACTCTGTTATTGTTCGGTTTCTTGGAACATTAAATGATACGTAGTCCTTTGAATACAGAGAACACGTTCCAGATCCTTTTGGAATTGTTTTCCATTAGCTGCAGCTCTGCGTTCCCCCCGTAGCCTAGGGCATGTGTCTTCTGAGAAAGGAACAGCCTCTGCCCATGGACCAGATCAGGGTGAATTGATTCTTGGCATTTCTGCTCTCATCAACAGGTTATTCTGCTATGGTAACTCTACCTTTAGAGTGGGCTGAATTATTTGTAGAAACTTCTGAATGTTTCCTCATATGGATTCTCGTCTGTGGGTGTGTGTACTTCATGTCTTTGGGAATTTTTCATACTCTCTGGTCTTTAGTATTGAAACAACATTGTTGCTGCATCACTGCCGTTTTTATTTTTATTTTTTATAAGATTTTATTTATTTTAAAGAGAGAGCGTGCGTGAGTGTGCCCATGCATGAGCTGGATGGGGGCAGAGGGAGAGAGAAAGAATCCCCAGCAGACTCTGTGCTGAGCACGGAGCCTGACGCGGGCCTCGATCTCACTACCCTGAGGTCATGACCTGGGCCCCAATCAAGAGTCAGACGCTTAACCCACTGAGTCACCCAGGTGCCCCTGCAATTTTTAGTTTATGTGTATGCCAGTTAAACTCTGATGAAGTGCCAGCCCATCCAGAGCTACTGCGGGAATGGTCACCCATATCAATACTGATTGGCATTAATGGACCCTGTTTTCCAACCTGCATTTCTGTGTAGGTATGACACAGCTAAAATCTTGGCTGGTTGGAAGCAGGTGGCTTGGATGTGACTTGGGGGGACAGCAGGGGGGTTTCTCTGTCCATGAGATGGCAAAACATTATCAGTCGAGTTTTAGCAAAGTATTTATGTTTATTTTCCCCAGTTTTGATGCCAAATCGTCACAGCCTAAAGAACAAGCATCCATTTCATGGTTGATGTGGCGTTTATGGTGCTCAGTAGTCACATCGTGTGTCCAGCTATGACAAAACAGTTTATGCATCCCATCCCCTCCTTCGAGAAAGGTGTGGGGGTAGGAAGATACCTTTTTCATCACTGTTCATCCACAAAGGTTCTCTCTCCAGACTACAGTGAAGGATTTTATGGACTTGTATCCGGCCCTTTCTTTGGAAAGCCGAACCAGAGACAAGATTAGAAATAGGGACAGGTCTGCATTTACTATCCTCGTGTGGGTTTATTGTGTGGCTCATAGCGCGAAGGCTGATGAGGGCCCCATGGCTGGGTCTTCGTTCAGCTCGGTGGCTGCGCTCGGGCACTGAGGAAGCGAGAGGCAGAAACCCAGATGTTTGTCCCGGGCCCCGTCATGACTCAGGTGGTTGGCTCCAAATTAAGGGCTGTGGGGTCTTAGGAGCAGAACCCCACTCACGCTAACTCAAGTCAAATGGGCTAATGAAAACATAAAGGGAGATTGTAAGGAACTCAGAGATGGAAAACACAGGTGAGCCTGATGGGGCCTGGTGCTGGGAATGGCCAAGCTGCCCTTTGTCTCTTTCCCTCTCCCCTGGGGGCCCCGGTGTTACCCTTTTCCTCACCTCCGGAAGTCTGCTGTGTTCTCTTGAGTCCCTCTCTCTCTCTCTCTCTCTCTCTTTTTTTTTTTTAAAAGATTTTATTTATTTATTTATTTGACAGAGAGAGATCACAAGTAGGCAGAGGGGCAGGCAGAGTCGAGAAAGGGGGAAGTGGGCTCCCTGCTGAGCAGAGACCCTGAGGCAGGGCTCAATCCCAGGACCCTGAGATCATGACCTGAACTGAAGGCAGAGGCTTAACCCACTGAGCCACCCAGGTGCCCTCAACTCCCTCTTTTGAGTCTGTTTCTGCTCGTCTGTGCCCTGCATCCCCTTTGACACCTGCACTCTGGGACCAGCTCCCAGGTCCAGCTCCCCAGTGACTCTGTGGTTCCTCGCTAGCCCCGTTCTGAATTCCCAGGACGCGTGGCTGATGCCTGGCCTGGTTCCAGGGCAGCCTCTTGGGCCGGAGACCCTGCATGGCGTGGCCCCTATCTGGGCTCTGAGCAGAGGTGGCCGCCATACCCTTTTTGTCTTTCCAAGCTTTGTTCACACTGTCCAGTCTGTAAAAGGAGGGGGTGGTCTTGGATTTCAGTCCCCCGTCCGGGGTCTCCCCGGTCCCGATTAACCTGGATGCGGCCGCTGTTTGTCTTCTCCCCAGGAAGCAATGCCTGCGTATCCAGGCCGTGCAGCCTGCTGTGCTTGCCCAAGGCCAACAATAGTAAAAGCTGCAGGTGTCCGGAGGGCGTGGCCAGCAGCGTCCTCCCATCCGGGGACCTGATGTGTGAGTGCCCTCAAGGCTACCAGCGGGAGAACGACACCTGCCTCAAAGAAGGTGGGTCCTAGTCATCTTTTCTGCCCGCTGGCCTCCCCCACTTCTTCCCTCCCCTCTCCCAGCGCTCTCTGTTCCCCTCTCTGTTCCCTGTGGGTTTGGGTGATTGAAATGCCCTCGGTAAAAATCAAATCCGCTAGATCCTTTAAGACACATCCTGGTCCGGGTTCTGAGGCCTGTGTTCCTCAGTCCTCATCGGGAACAGCCCTGCATGGTTTGTATAAACAATAACTGTGCTTTTGGTTTTCCTGTCAGATGACACAGGCCTTCCTTGATGTCCCCTTTTTGTCTCCTCACCCATCCCTTGTCCTTGCTTCCTGTAAGTTGGGACCAAGCCCGACTTGGAGAAAGGACTGGTGGGACTGTATAGGCTTTTCGAGGCTCATGCAGTGGTTCTCCCTCACCCCCCACCCCTGCCAGCCTGGAAACGTCCAGAACATTGGGAACAATGTTATGGACTCTGAGGCTTCACCTCACGCTGTGACCAAGTGGCCATAGCAGCCTCATCCACTCTTCCTTTGGATTTAAATACATGGATTCTAAAATTTTTCCTCAGAACCTGTCTTGATCTTTCTTTCCTGTCTGATTTATGTTCCCAGCCTGGCATTACTGTGAATGAGGTGAACCTCTGGAAGAAGGGCCCTGCCAGGAAGCACCCACATCCCTGCCTTTTTTTTTTTTTTTTAATTCTCACAGTTATATTGGCTTTGGAACCAATATATTGGCTTTCGCAACCTCCCTCCTCACAGAAGCCTCTTAGTCCTAGGGGGTGGGCACACAAAGGAGCCCTATGGTCCCTTTTCCTATGAGAAATACACATGGAGAAAGGCTTACCCTTCCTTTCGTAGACACAGGAGAGTCTCTTTCAGGCTCCAGACACCATCTTAAAGCTGTTCATAAAGAAAAAGTGTTAACAATTAAGTTAGAGAACAGCTTTTTAATATTTTCTTTCAGAATGCTCTTGGTGACCCAAACAAGAGGCCAGCCTTCATGTGTTCTTGTCTTGGTTTACTAAACAATGCATTTTTTTTTCCTGTGTGTCATGAGTGGAATAAGGTCCTCAGAGTATTATGTATCCTTTGTCATCTACTTGGCTGAAAAATGGAATATATGTGGATATAATGGTTGTATATACAAAAATACATATAGGTACAGATCTGTGGAACATGTATGTTTTCGTACTGTGTAGATAGAGCCCCTTAAGCAGTTCCTTGTATAATTAGTGTTTTATGACGGCGATGTTTGGTATCGACCCATTGGACCCAACTGGCACCATTGCCGTTATCACCATTATAAACACCCCCAACACCGATCCAGCTGGCCTCTTGTCCTTTAATTATAATTGAGAGAGGAAGGGAGGAGGTCTCTGTCGTACGCTCCCATGCGCAGGTGTGCTAGGCACCATTTTCCTCTTTACCACGTAAGGCATGGTATTTGAGGAAGAGAAATGGAAACTCAGTGAGAAGTGAAAGTCTCGCGCTCTGGCTGTAAGAATAATATGGGTCTCTTCCCCCACCCCCCCGTCGCCCCCCGTGCCCACCCCCGCTGTCCAGAGAACACCTGTCTCCGGAACCAGTATCGTTGCAGCAATGGGAACTGTATCAACAGCATTTGGTGGTGTGACTTTGACAATGACTGCGGTGACATGAGCGACGAGAGAAACTGCCGTGAGTCTTCCTGGCTCGGCCGGGCTTTCGGGACGGGGCGCACAGACTGTGCTCGGAAGGCTGGCCAGCCAGCTCCGCCCAGGTTGGGGGGGCCTGCAGCCTGTGGTGCCCACCAGTGACCAGTGATGCCCATGCCGGCTGATGGGGCTCAGAGACCAGAGAAGACACGTAGATAATAGGTTGTTATTGAAAACCCAGCCCCACCAGTAAGGGAACTGCTCGTTCCAGAGGGTTGAGCGGTCAGCATCTCCCAGCTGGAACTGAGCTGACTGCGGAGTCGGGCAGTCTGGGCTCTCATTGTGGCTTTACCACCGTGACAAAGGTGGTGACCAGGTGACATCCCTTGGTCTGTAAATTCAGCCTTTTCAGAGATGGGAAGCAACTTTCATTCCTGTATGCCATCCAGTCAGCAGCTCTTGGCTCCCCGTCTCCAGAGAGACGGTTCTCCCTGACTGAGGATGCCTCGTCAGGCCTGAAATGTGGGGACGTTGATCTGTGCACATGGAAACATCATCTTGGGCTGTGTGCTTTCTGAGGGGCATTACCGAGGCACGGGTTTAAAGACAAATAACTACTTATAATGAGTAGACTTATTTACTGCAAGGTTTTAATTTTTGATAGCTTTGACATTATCTTCCAAGGAGGCGCTTGGCCCTCGGACCGTGAGTAGTACGTTCCTACATTCATCCTCAGCAAGTAGTTGTTGAGGACTCCCTTGGGCTAGACTCTGTGCGTGGCCTGGGGTACCGGGTGATCAGTCGAACACGGAGTTGACTCCGTAGGGGAGTCGGGAGAGTGGAGACGTGGTTACGGTAGAGCTGTAATGGGGAGGTGCCCTATGCATCGGGGAAGAGCACACAACTCAGACTCGGGTTGGTATTTATGGGGAACCCTGAAAGGTGAGCAGGGCTGAACCAAGCAGAGGTGGAGGGAGCATGGTTGTTGGCAGGAGAACAGCAGGTGTGAAAGCCCAGAGGTCAGAGCGTGTGCGGCATGGTTAGGAAGCTGGTGTGGCTCATTGTTGACGTGACTATGGAAGCTGTGGGGCAGGGGGCAGACGGGCTCGTGACGGGGCCCAGGGCAGCAAGTGCCTGTGGGCTTTCTTCAGAAGAGCCGTTGGGAACCGCTGAAATAGCATGATAAGATTTTTGTCTTTGGAAAGATAAGCTGTGGGCAGAAGGCACTGGATGGGAGGAAGACCAGAAGCAGGGAAGCCAGAAACCACTGTGAGGGCTTCTCTTGCAAATATTTTCCCACTGGAAAGCCAGAAGCTCATTTACCCCTTTGGGCTTTGAGAAGAGTGGGTGATGCCTGGCTCTGGGGAGGACATATGTCGGCAGCCGTCTGTGGGGTCTGTGCCTGGTTCCCACGCCCTACTCCCCCCGCCCCCCCGCCCCCCGCCAGAAAGCAAGCTTAGCAGTCGACTCCCTGAACTCGCCTGGTCCCAGCAAACCTCTGTGCTGGCCTTGTTGGTGCTTGGGACGTTATTTAACTAACACTTTCTTAATCATTTCTCCTTGGTTTCCGTGGAGCAGGGAGATGAGCTCACTACTGAATGGTAGAGCTAGAGAAGCGTTAGACTCTCTCTGTTTTCTTCTCTGCCAAAAGAACATTGATACAACCTTCTCTACCTACCAGGGTCTCAGGAGAGGGCGATATTTGTGGGGGAAGAGCCAAAGTTCCTTAAAAACAATAAATATCAACAACGCTGGACCCGAGCCTGGAAAGGACTTTCTTACATAATGGGGTGGGAGAGGAGATGCTTCTTAGAATTAAGATTGCTGTGAAGATTGTCCAGACATGATTAGCCTTAGTGGAAGCAGACAGATTTAAACTAGATGACCTTGTGTCCGATCGACGGGGATTCCATGCAGGGGCTTTGGGTTCCACTAGGTGACAAGCTGAGATCTTGTACCAGTTCAGTGTTCTGAGAGAGAGAGCTCCCTCCATCTTCAGGAGGGACGCCCTCTCCCCGCATCCCCTAGCCCTGGAGCTCAGTGCCAGCTTCACAGTCTTCCACACACCGTTCACAATCCTCCTCTGGGTCAAGTGTGCAGCTGGCACTGACCTCCTCGTGGTCTGGTGTCAGCGTCTGCTGGGATCGACCTTCCCCGGGACCATGGGACCGTGGAACTTGCTTGCTGCTCTGCTCTCTCTCTATTCATCCCACTTGGCAGGGGGGAGGTGGTGAGGTGGGGTGCAGGGGTCACAACGTGGAGCTGGGAACCGGAGAGGGTGCCTGACTGTGCTTGCATGAGTGGCTCCCTTATCGAGGAGGATGAGAGTTGTGGTTATCCTGATGGTGGAGCCGCCCCTGGGCAGGGCTGCAGGGAAGGGACAGGCTGCTACAGGGTGCCGCTGCTGTCTGGGCAGCTAATCGCAGCATCCCCATCAGCTTCAGGGGAGGAGAAGGGGAGTGGCGACCGGGGAGCCGGGGAGGGCTGTTGTCAGCTCATCTCCCTCCCGCGCGCACAGACTCCTGCGTTGGGAACTTGTCAGGCGCTCTGGGTTTTGACGGGAAGCCCCTGCAGCCTTGTCATTTTTGTATTCATCCTCTGCCTCCCACCATGAGCTCAATTACAGAGAAGAAATGGAGCCTCAAATAAGAGCCGCTGGGATGTCTAACTGTATAGCGTTGCCCTTGGCTTTTTATTTCCTGGCACACCGCTGCTCCCCCACCCCCGGATCCTGTTCTGTCATGTTGTACCTCATGTGTCAGCCGCTCCTGAGCGCAGCCTTCCTCCCCAAAGCCTCGCCTCGAGGTTCTTTTGCTGGGCTCTAGGGGTTGTGCTCCCCCCTAACCCCAGATGATTTCCGTTTAGAAGGAGAAGGATGTGTGTCTCTACTCATTCTGGTGCAGGAGGGCAGAGGAAGGACAAGGAGGAGACATGACATTGGTTTGGAGCTATTCCGTTTTGCAGCCCATGTCATGGCTCTGGTCCCAAACCGATTTGCTTATTTACGTTCATAATACTGCCTCGGCGTAGGTGTTCTGTTATCTCCGTTTTACAGTAGAGAAAACAGAGGCGCTCATCAGTTAGGTTACATAAGTTATAGAATTGAGATCCGTATTTAGTCTTTCTGTCATCACAGCACTTGGCCACCTGACCTTAACCTCCTCCTGCTGTGCAGGAAGCAGGCCCGAGGGGGTTCAAGTTAATTGCTTGAGGGAGAGGCAGAGCCAGGATCTGAAACCCAGTCCTGCCTGACGACAGGGCCCAGGTGCCTGCTGCAGAATTCTTGCCCGACACTTCCTGTGTCATCAATATGAGGAGCACATGGGACTGGGCTTCTCCGTGGTCGTTGTCTAGACGAAGGTGTCTTTGCTGCTGACTTAGAGGCCGTACGAGGTGATCCAGCCCATCAGTCTCTCTCCCAGCTGAGGGCAGTTTCTCACCCTCCCAGCCCGCTGCCCATCTGGAAGCTGTCTTGCCCTTCTCTCCCTTGCTTGTAAATGTCAGGTTCTCACGGGACTGATTTTTTTTTTTTTTTTTTTTTGTGGTCTGTTGCTCTAATTCAGGTCTGCTTCCTTCTCTGTTTCAATTCGTTTTCCACGGGGGTGGGGGAGGCGGTGTTGGCCAGGGAATAAATTGTCCCTCACGAGTATGTTGTCTCTTCCCTTGTAGCGACTACCGTCTGTGATCTGGACACCCAGTTCCGCTGCCAGGAGTCTGGGACCTGCATCCCACTCTCCTACAAATGTGACCTTGAGGACGACTGTGGCGACAACAGCGATGAAAGTCACTGTGGTAAGGGGACATGATGTCCAGGAACCCCACTCCTGAGTGGAGCAGCACCCTTGCTCATGGGGCTTTTGTGCGCTGCAGATGGAGGCTTTCTGGAAGTGTCCTGGTTTTTTTTTCTTTCTTTCTTTCTTTGAGGGAGAGAATGCACTTGTGTGCGCAGGTGGTGGGGGGAGGGGAGACGCAGGAGAGGGGAGGGGCAGAGGGAGAGAGAGAACACACGAGAATCCTAAGTAGGTTCCTTGCTGAGCACAGAGCCCAAAGCAGGGCTCCATCCCAGGACCCCGATATCATGATCTGAACCGAAACCAGTAGTTGGACGCTTAACCCACAGCCACCCAGTCGCCCCCATCAGGGTTTCTGATACCCAGCTGTGTGACCATGATGAGATAGGGAGATTTCTGACTAAATACAGACAGTTAATAACAGCTCTATGCGGCACAGACTTGGCCCATGTCTGGGTGGCTATGAGATTAGCCTCCTGAAGACACAGATTTATACCTTTGCGAACGTTGTGTTTTTTGTTTTTTAAACCAGTCTAATTCAGTAAACTGTTGGAAGCCAGCAGATGGTACAAACATTGTTTGAACATCTGTTTTCTGAATGGAAATTTTTATGTTTAGAAAAATAGTGTGTTGGAATTGCCAGGAGTGATTGGGGTTCTCTAGCTCAGCCCTCTTGATTTCCAATTAAATGACTGAGGGGACTTACTCAAGGTGACACTCTTGGTTTGTGTCAGGATATGGACCCGGAGCCTGTGGTTCCCCCCTCCTCGCTGCCGCACCTGGCCCTGTCCAGTGCGGAAGGCCTGTTGTCAGGAGTGGCTCTGGTACCACACTCAGTGTTGCTGGCCGTCCAAGGAGGAAACCTCCTGCGGTGCTCGCAGCGCACCAGACCGAAGGAGTCCTGACTGAGAAGGGGAAGTGAGAACAGGGCCAGACGCCAACCCAGACAGCGTGATGAGTTCGTGGCTCTCCCTGCCCACCCACGGGTCAGGTTGCGCACCTTCCGTGCACATGTTTACGGAAGGGACCTGCCTTTTCCCCAGCAGGTCGTTTGACCCCAGGGACTGAAATGAGGGGGGCAAGGGAAATGCCCTTTGGCTGGCTCTTAGAGGAATTTTGTGTGTATGGGGGTCCCCTCATTCTCCCTCATCTTTGTAAAGATAGAAAGTTCTGGAAGGGAGTCTTTGGGATTCAGTGCTGTTTTCTCTGCGTTCCTCCCATTCCCTCCTTAGCTCCTGCACAGGGTTGAAGGGCACAGCTTCGTAGGAAGGAGAGTCCAGCATCAGATTCCTTGTTCACAGTCTGTTTGTGCTAATATCTCCCAAATCCATCCCAGGGTCTCAGTCCCGGATATCCTCAGAGCCAGGTCCTCATAAGTCTCCAGACTGTTTCCCCACCAATATCTGAATTTCCAACTTCACCATCAACCCAAACGACTCAACTCGGAGAGCCACCCTGGGCTCCAGGCTTGGCTACCCCTTTTACAGTTCCATTTGACTGAGATTCCCAGGGTCTAGGAAGATGTTGCCGGTGGAGCCCACTTGCAGGTCTTGGGCAGGCTGCGTGGCTTCATTTGCCTCAGGACCCCACCTTTCTAGAGAGAGCCAGCCAGCCAGCGTCCCTGGAGCTCTGCCCGCAGAAGGGCCCCAGTTTCCTCTATGTTGGGAGCTCAGCACTTATCTTCACTTTCCCCAATCTGAGCATCTCAAACTGATCGGCTCCCTTGTTCTCATAACTTCTTTTCTGAAACCACAGGCTCTGTCTCTAGAAGCTTCTGTTTCTTGAGAATTGTTGAGGATTCTACTTTCTGGGTAACTGGAGCATTGCCTCCTAACCTTCCCCTTGTAGCAAGCTTAGACAGTATTTGTGAAGTGCCCTGAGGTGCATGGATAATGCTGTTTGTGGCCTGGAGGCAGCCAATGGCAAGGATGTGAGGGTGTCAGGGGCACCTGGATAGCTCAGTCGGTTCAGCGTCTGACACTCTTGATTTCAGCTCAGGCTGTGATCTTGGGGTCCTGGGATCAAGCCCTGCATCGAGCTCCACGTTCAGCCTGGAGTCTACTTGAGATTTTCCCTCTCCCTCTATCTTCACCCTCTCCCTCTGCTGGCACTCTCTGGCTCTCAAATAAATAAATAAATAAATAAATAAACTCTTTAAAAAAATGTGAGGGTGTCGGTATCTCAGCCCACCTGGAGTCTGTCCTCGATAGGCTGGCGCCCCCGGTTACGATCCACGCTGTCTCTGGATAATTAGTGATGGATAATGCATGCATCTCTGGCCCTTAGGGACGCCGACACCTGAGCTCGGTTTGAGATGGGTTTCTGAGTAAGCATTTGTCCTCCCAGCTCTGTGTTTGTGCTCCCTCCCGCAGAAATGCACCAGTGCCAGAGTGACGAGTACAGCTGCAGCTCTGGGATGTGCATCCGCTCGTCCTGGGTGTGCGATGGGGACAACGACTGCAGGGACTGGTCTGATGAAGCCAACTGTACCGGTCAGTATTTTCTGCTCTCCCTTCATAGCACCTGTGTGTGTTTGTGTGTGTGTATGTGTGTGTGTGCTGCTTAGCCCGGCAGCCCTACGCAATCGTAGAGCCGAGGCTCTAAGAAATAGACCCCTTTAGCCATTTCTTAGCTAGCCATTTCAGCTAGCCATCAGCCAGCTGCATGTGGTTTACACAGCTATTTCTCTGAGTTCATTTTCGTTTTGAAGTGACCTTCTATGACCTTCAGGAGTAAATGGATCTCAAATGCCATATCATCCCACAGGATGATCTGTGATGTTACCCAGTTTTATCCCCTTATGAACTTAACCTAAACTTGCCCCCCTTGTCCTTTCTGGGGCAGTCTCAGTGTCTGCACCTCCGCTTCTCGAAGGACTTCGGGAAGAGGCTTCTCTCCAAATGGCCTGCAGGTGGAAGAAAAGCCAGGGTCCATAAAGGAACTGCTGTCAGCCCAGGAACCACGGAGTGCTGTTTGGAAATGTTGGGCCTGGGTGGGTAATTGGTTAATAAATTAGAGGGGTGCACTTGGGCATTTCAGTTTAGTAAATTGCAAAATGATTGAACACCTTGTTAGCATAACCACATTAGTCAGTTGTGTGTGTTTCAGCAGCATGTGCTGCTCCTCTGGGATGAATTTTCAACTCCTGTCTGTGGGAGGGTTTGTCCAAGATTCCTGATTTTCTCTCCGATTTTTATCTTATTTATTTATTTTTTTGACAGGGCTGTCTGGGGAAAATGTAAAGTGCTTGCGCCTCCCCTGTTCCCTTTTTCCAGTGACTGTTCTTCCAGATCTATTAAAGACGATTTTCCTTCCCCATCATCTCAAAATAATTGGCGGTCAGCTGTGAGCTTCTTAGGATATGTGGCGTGTCCCCTCCTTTCCTGATCTGATCACCCAAGTCACCTGCAAAGCCAGAGAAGATCAGTCCAGGTCAGCAGACTTCCTGTTGGCCTCCGCTCGCGTGTATGGTCTTTGTTCTTCTCTGTCCTGCTTTTGGTTTTCTGGGGACTGAGTTTTCTTTATTCCCTTCTCCCCACCTCCCTGCATGGATTTTGAGCTTAAACATTTTGATTTCTGTTCTTTCAGCAGTTACGCTCAAGACACCCTGTGTGTCTTTGTGTGGTAACGTTGCCCTCCCCTAGACCTGCAGGGACTTGAGAACAGACTCCAAAAATACTTTGTATTTTAGCTGTACATTTTAAGAACACTAACATTCATCACTGTTATTATATTTTATTAACCATTTACCTTTACTTCTTGTACCTGACATCTCCCTCCCGGGTCCATCTTTCTCTGTTTCTTGCAACAGGAGTCCATGAATAGTAAGCTCTTTCAAGATTTTGTTTCCATAAACGTGTCTTTATTTCGCTCTCAATCCTGAATTTCGATGGATCTGGGTTTCTCGGTTTGTAGTAATTTTCCTTTAAATGTTTTTTTTTCAAAGATTTTATTTTAAAGATTTTATTTATTGGACAGATAGAGATCACAAGTAGGCAGAGAGGCAGGCAGAGAGAGAGGAGGAAGCAGGCTCCTCGCTGAGCAGAGAGCCCGATGTGGGGCTCGATCCCAGGACCCTGAGATCATGACCCCAGCTGAAGGCAGAGGCTTTAACCCATTGAGCCACCCAGGCGCCCTGCCTTTAAATGTTCTGATGGAACTATTCTCTTTCCTTCCGGCCTCTTCTGTGTTGATTTGAATTCTCCCGGCAGGTGATCTTGTTCAATCAATCGTTTTCTCCCCAGGTATCTGTTTGTTTGTTCTCGTTAGGCGTTTTGACTTCCTTCAGCGAAATGATCTTTATTCAGCCTGCTCGAGTCTTGTTTTCTTTCTAGAGGCTGAAGATTTGTTTTTCACCAATTCTGGGGAATCACAGACAGGCTCTTTTCAACTCTATTTGCTATTTTCTCTGGTCTCGTCTTCAGGTGGCTTACTCTCAGGGGTCTGTCGGGCTGGGTCCTTCTGTCATTCATGCTTCCTGGTTTTGTATTTGCCACCTCTTCATGAGGCTGTGCTCGCATCTGAGTTACTTCCTCAGTCTTCTCTTCCAGTTCAACAATTCTCTTTCTAGCTGAATCTAATGGGCTGTTCCACACATCCCCTGAGCTATGCTTATTTCCACGACTATATTTTTTGTATCCAGAATTTCCATCTGGTTCTTTTTCAAAGTCTGCCTTTTATTTTTCAAGGCCCCTTCTTTATGCTTTATGTTATTCCTTCTGTGTCATTCATCCTTCAGGTTGAATCGATAGTTGCATTTTCTCTCTGCCCATTTGCTTCTTCATGGTCCAGCCCTTGGAAATGAACGTGGTAGCGCTTTCTTACCATGTGAATTCATTCATCTCTTCTGTCCCACTTGTATTTGGTTAATGCTTCTGATCAAGTTTTCCAGAGGGTCTTGTTGAGTCAAGGAAGATCTGTCCCAGTCAGAGAGTTAGGTGTAGGATAATGGCCTCTATTAGAAACCCGACCCTCTAATTTCATGGTCATTTACCCCATTAGCCCATCCAGTTACAATGATTACTGCCACATGGAGGATTCTTATTTTTCTCCCCCCATTCTTTAGTCTGTATTAAAGTCCGTCTCTTCCCTCTTTGTAATTAAAAGAAAAAGGTGGTAATTGAACATGTATTACGGTAATTAAGACACTCCATGTCAGAGAGCTAGTAAGTTACTCAGAAGATGGGAAAATTCAGGAAAAGAGACTGTTAAGAATCCCATTCATAACAGGCCACTTAAATGAAATTTTACCAAACTGATTAGTCTTTCTGAGCTCAGCTTCGGTGATAGATATTTGGAGATCTCAGATGTGCCTCCCAGAATGGTCATTTGGAAACTCCATCAGCACTCCGAAATTGTTTTCAATTAAAAGGGAAAGGCATAAGCTGAATAATAACAAGTAGCTCACCGGGGTAGTGAGTTTAGGCGACAGTATATTTTATGAACATGAGCAAGGCTTTGCTGAGGAGTATTTTCAAGGGCGGTCAGACTTGTAAAACCAATAGGTCAGAAGTCTTCCAGGCAGTGGCTGTTACTAGTACAAAAACTCACGTACCGTGCAACATACCCATAGTCCTCTTATCAGAGATAGAAGTATATTTTAAAAAGATGTTTAGTGGATTCCAAGTGCCAAAGGTTGTAAAATATCGAAACTTCCTCTAGACCTGTTTGCACGCTACACCTATAGCCTTGATCTTCAGAGAGATGAGAAGACAGCAGGTAATGGACCACCACTTGTTTTAAAGTGGTTTGAAAAATCACTTTCTTTGCATTTCAGACTGCTGCACAAAATAGCCTCAAATTCAGTAGAAATTCTAGAGGGCATTGGAAGCCAATTTTGCTAATCCTTGAGTAACAATTGCCAACCATCTTGATCACATTAAATAACTGTAGTATGCACTCAGTAACCCACTTTTGTTGGTTCTGCCTCGTCTGTTGCAAAGACATCCTGTTCACACAGTTAAGCTAACAGCCCATCCCTCTTGGTTGTATTATTTTATGTCAGTGGTAAACAAGGCCAGACCTGGCTTCCATTCAGCCACGAGCAGACACAAACAGCTTTCTGTTTTAGCAGAGGAAGGGGAAATCCGACGGACAGTAGTGCTGGTTGGATTTGAAACAGTTACTCTGTGTTTGAACTAGTCTTTCACCAGGGTTTTGAGACGTTTCTAAAGGACTTCCAGGTGGCCTCAGCCCATGTATGCAAAGAAGGCTGTCGGTTTGTAACAATGGCACTGTTTCACTTGTGTCTTTTTCTTCTAACGATTGTAGCAGACACCATATGTCGTAAGCTGGGGGACGTCCCTCCCGACGGTCGAGAGAGTTAGATAAGGCGAGGAGGTTCTGGGACCTTCCTGTGTGAGTTTGGATAAGTCTTCCGTGCTCTCTGGATCTGAGGTTTTCCACATTTCAAATTGGGTCATTTATTGAGAATTATAAGATCACAGCCTGTCCGAGCTTACAAGGGTCCTTATATGTCAATATAGATCATGAAATTGAGGCCCCCAAAGAGTAGCTGGACCAGGTCTAGAGCAGGTCTCTGGGGCCCACACCACCTCTCCTTGTCGCACAGAATCTGGATGAGTGAGTGGGTTGATGAGAGAAGATAAACCTGCAAGACAGAGCAGACCAGGAGCCACACAGGCTTTGGACTTAGAGGGGGCCAGCGTCCTTATTTAATTATCTTTGCAAATGTGGGCAAGTTTCTTAATCTCTCTAAAGCCTATTTCTTTTTTTTTTTTTTCATTTTTTAAAAAACTGATTTTCTTTATTTGAGAGAGAGTGTGAGAGAGAACACAAGAGTAGGGGGAGAGGCAGAGGGAGAAGCAGGCTCCCCACTGAGCAGAGAGCCTCACTTGGGGCTCGATCCCAGGACTCTGAGATCACGCCCTGAGCCCAGGGCAGACGCTTCACCAACGGAGCCACCCCGGCGCCCCTCTAAGGCTATTTCTTATCTGTGAATGGGGACTAACCCTCACGTCGTAGGTGGTGGCGAAACATGAATGATTCTTTTTAAACCTATGTGTCTAAGCTTGTGTAACTTCACAGACTCACACAGTCAAGGGATTTCCTTGATCAGGAGGCTGTACTCTGCTGCCCTCAGGGCAACCCAGGTGCCTAGCTCCTGGCCAGGGAGGAACTCTGGCACTCCAGGCTTTCCCGCCCGTATCACCCAGCGCCGTCTCTCTCTGGTCAGCTCCTTGGCAGTTGGTGGGGGAGCGGGGTGAGGGCGGCATTGACTCTTTCTCTCCTCTCTCTTGCTGACAGCCATCTATCACACCTGCGAGGCCTCCAACTTCCAGTGCCACAACGGACACTGTATCCCCCAGCGGTGGGCATGCGACGGTGACATGGATTGCCAGGATGGTTCCGATGAGGACCCAGTGAACTGTGGTAAATGCCCTTGCTTTGGCCTCTTCCGGGGGCATCCCTCGTATCTGCCGTCCCAGAAGACAGGCAGCAGATGGGCCGGGGATTGGGGTACTGTTCTCCTGCGCCCGGGTCCACGCAGACAACCAGAGGTGCCCTCACGGTTCTCTGTGGCTCTGCTATAGGGTGTCGAGGGGGTGTGTAGTGTTGTCCTCACTGGCAGGCAGGCTGTCGTGCCTCATTGCCTTTCCCTAACAACTTTGAAACGAAGAAACGGAAACCAGTTCACGCACCCAGAGTGCTAAACGCCGTCACCACCTACAGATATGACCAGGGTTCCGTGGAAATTAACCAACTATTTCTGTATCAGTGGCATGTGTTATGACTCAGAGTCCTCTGTCACGGTCCTGTGGGAAAATGGCTCACCGCCCCAAAGGCAGGACTCTTTCAGCATAACCGATTTCAGAGAGAACTCTGAGGTGGTCATTTACCTTCACAAAGTAGCTGCCACACAAACACGATTTGTAAAATTCTGCTTTATGCCAAATATCTTTAGGGTCCTCTCTCGTTACCCCTTTTCTCTAACGTCTGTAGGAAGAGAATCCTCGTGTTTCTCCTCTGCTCGCTTAGTACTTCCAACACTTTGTGGCCACCGTGTGTTTTCCACACCACGTAATCCTTCAGCACCAGCTGGGGGTCCTCCAGCTAACGCAGTCCTTACGCCATCTTCCTTGGATGGCGTCTCTCTCACAGGAGGAGGGCGCGGTCCCCAGCACTGTTCCCAACTCACATGCTGGTCACCAACCTCGAGTTGTCACCCGTCCCTCTGACTGACCACCTGTACATCCAGGTCCCCTTTCTTGGGTTCAGTGATTTACTAGAATGTCTCACAGAACTTAGGGAAACACGTCTCCTCGTTTGTTAGAAAAGGATGTGGTAGAGGATAGAATGAACGTTCCTATGGAGGAGATGGGTAGGGCAAGGTATGGGGAGGCATTGTGGGGCTTCCGTGCCTTCTCCAGACCTGCCGCTCTCCCAGCATCTCTGAGGTCAACAACCTGGAGGCTCTCTGAGCCCCAAACTTTTAAGATTTTTATAGTGACTTTATCGCCTGGCTCTGGCTGATCATTACCCCAGTCTCCATCCCTCGCCCCTTCCTGGAGGATCCGGGGTGGGGTTCAAAGTTCCAAGCCTCTAATCATGGCATGACTTTTCTGGTGACCAGCCCCTATCCAAAAGCTGTGCAGGAGTCCACCCAGATTTGCCCCATTAGAACATGAGACACTTCTGTCTCCTACAGAATGACAAGGGTTTCAAGAGCTCTGTGCCAGTAGCCAGGGTCAGAGACCGGTATGTATTTCCTGTTACTTACACCGTATTTCCAGATCTTCGTGGGATTGTAGGCTTTGTCAGCATGTTGTACACCCTATTGCTCTCATGTCAGCGTCTTAAAGATGTTTGCCTCAATCTCTGTTTTTCTAGACTCAGCATTTTCATGGCAGACACATCTTACTTCGTTTTTCTCTGGCTCACGTAGTTGCTTCCTGGTCAGGCATTTGAGTGTTTTTAGTTTTATGCTATCATGCGTCGTCAAATTAATCCATTTCTTTGGAAACAAAGGCTTATATTTCCTTGACGATCCTTCCTAGGACATGTTCCTCAGTATGGCATTGCTGGGTCAGCGGTCCTGATGGACCTCAGTGATTCTCATGAAGTGTCCCCAGACTGCGTGTCCAAGCAGTGATACCCAAAGTGTCTCTACCAGTAGCGTCGTGTCTGTTTCCCCAAGTCTCCCTTGAGCTCGCATTTTATTTTTTTAGCTGTTTCCACTGATTAAATGAACAGGAGTTTGTCTCGTATAATTTTAATTTTATACTTTTTTTTAAAAAGCTGTTATTCTTAGAGACATTAGATATTTCCCCAACTCAGGTACTCATTTACTATTTTCTGTTTGATGTCCTTTGAGTAATTTCCTCTTCCATGATGACTTTTTATGGGGTGAAAACACATTTTCTTGCTGTTAGGGTCCGTGATCAAAGGGACGAGACTGATATAAAGCGAAAATCAAACAAAGCTTTATTTCACGCCAAGCATCAAAAATCAAACTGACCGGTCAGGGCTGTCTCTTACGAAAAGACGACGACGATGATTCCGGCAAGGTCACTCCCAAGAAGGCCGCTCCGGACGAGGCTGCTCCGCAAATGAGGCCGCTCCCCGGTTGGAGCCGCTCCCAAGAAGAGGCCACTCCCAAGAAGGCCGCTGCTGGTGAGGTCGCTCCCTGGACAGGGCTGCTCCCAAGAAGAGGCCACTCTGGAGGAAGCCGCTCCCGGACGAGGCGGCTCCCAATGACAAAGAGGCGATGACGACAGCGACAATGACAAGGACAACAACACAGTTGACACAGACTCTGCTCCCCATGACGCCACTCTGACAAGGCTGCTCTGGCGAGGCCGCTCCCCAGACAAGGCTGCTCCAGCGAGGCCGCTCTGGAGGAAGCCTCTTCCCTGATGGTGCTGCTCCCGCAGGGCCGCTCACGGAGGAGGCCTCTTCCCAGACGAAGCCACTCCCCGGAATGACACAGCTGCGGCGAGGCAGCGGCTCAGGGTTCCCGGCGAGATTGCTGCCGTCTAGGCCGTTCCCTGCGGCGCCGCTGCCGAGGGTCGCGGTGTGTGGGTGGGGCCGCTGGCGTCGGGGCCGCTGGTGTCTCAGGGCCGCAGGCGTCTGGGAGCTGCAGGTGTCTCGGGGCCGCTGGCGTCTTGGGACTGCTGGCGTCTGGACCGCTGGCGGCTCGGGGCTGCTGGCGGCAGGGCCGCAGGTGGCTCGGGGCTGCCGGCGGCCGAACTGCTGGTGTCTGGACCGCCGGCGGCTCGGGGCCGCCGGCGGTGCTTATAGCTCTTACAAGAGCTGTTACAGCTCTTCTTTTGCTCCTGCCGACTCTTCTTCTGCTTCTTCTTCTTCCTTCTTCCCCTGACAGCTCTCCTTCTCCCTTTGACGGCCTCGCAGACCAACCTTTATGGGGGTGGTTGAGCCCCGCCCCTACACAGGCAGCCAATTGAATCCCAATTCACCCTAGTGGATATACGCGCGCCCCACCGATTGGACGTCTCCACCCGGCCTGCCCCGCCCCTACATCCGGGGTCCACAAGCTAGTTCCTCTAGGGGAGGGGCAGGCCCTTACACTTGCCTTATAGCTGACCCTTCTGGAACCATTCTCCTGAGAGTTGGGTTCTCAGTGGCCATGCCTGACCTGCTAGAATTTACTTTGAAGCCTGACGTCGGGCAGTAGCTCTGCATTCAGGAGGAAGGGTTACCTCAGGCTAAGAATTGTCCACTAAGTGCGAACCCTGAGATTCTCAAGATTTCTAGGATGGGCTTTCTCCAAAAGGGCTTTGGTTTAGCGTTCCTGAAGAATTAAGATGGTGCTCTATGAAGGCTTTAATAGACCAGGATGTATAATCAGGATTCATATCCCCCCTCCTTTTTTTTTTTTTTTAAATCACTGAAACTTTTCTTAAAAATATGTACTCATGAGTATATAACACATTTTCATGGTTCAAAATGGAAAAAAAGTATCAGGAGGGGTATAGTAAACATTTTTCTCCCCATCTGGCAAATTCTGACCCTGTTCCACATAGGAAATTATGGTTGTATACCCTTTTGGGTATATTTTTGGGATACCCTTTTGGGATATTTTTGTGCGTATGTGCAAACTTAAATGTACTGTGTATTCTTGTTCTCTCTCCTTTTTTTTTAAAGATTTTATTTATTTATTTGACAGAGATCACAAGTAGGCAGAGAGGCAGGGAGAGAGAGAGAAGAGGAAGCAGGCTCCCCGCTGAGCAGAGAGCCCAATGTGGGGCTTGATCCCAGGACCCTGGGATCCCGACCTGAGCCGAAAGCAGAGGCTTTAACCCACTGAGCCACCCAGGCGCCCCTTCTTGTTGTCTTTTATACAAATAGTCTGCTATGCATGTTTTTTGTACCTTTTTTTTTTTTCATACAACTGTGTACGCAGGACACATTTTTTACAGAGCGCTTCCTCAGTGCCTTTATGACTGTCCCCGTGTTCCGTGTACAATAAGGCATTACAGAGTTCCTGTGGGTGGACACGTGGATGGTTTTCCATGCGTTACAAAGAGCATTGCAGCGAACAACCTTGTATTTATGTTACTTTTCACTTGTGCGGGTAGGCTACACGTTTATGATGGCATTGCTGGGCTCCGTGTGCACATGTCGGTACCTGTGGCCATGGGTACCAGTCCCCCACCTTCCTTAGGGGTGGTGCAGCTTTCTACCCAAACGACGCAGGTGAGGGGCTGCCTGTTTCCTCTCCGTCATCTTCTCCCCTTGTCGAATTGCATTTCAGAGAAGAAGTGCAATGGATTCCGCTGCCCGAATGGCACGTGCATCCCGTCCAGCAAGCACTGCGACGGCCTGCGGGATTGCTCGGATGGCGCGGACGAGCAGCACTGCGGTGAGCCCTCTCCCTTCCCCGGGGAAGCACATATATTGGACTGAATTGTTGCATTTCCTCAGTGCGTGCTGGTGGTTAACTTTTTTTTTTTTCTAAGATTTTATTTATTTATTTGACAGAGAGAGAGATTACAAGTAGGCTTAGGGTCAGGCATGTTGGAGTGAGGATCAGGCTTCCCACTGAGCAGAGAGCCCGATGTGGGGCTCAATCCCATGACCCTGAGATCACGACCTGAGCTGAAGGCAGACAACCCACTGAGTCACCCAGGCGCCCCACTGGTGGTTCGGTTTTAACCAGAGCTCATGCAGGACTCTGAGAGGCTAATGGTGGCAGGGCACCGTGGTTTGGGGGAAGAGGAGCAGGGGTGCTGCTGGGGAGGTAGCGGTGGGGGTGGGGGGTTAGCAGTGGGGTCATAGCTTGGTGAACGCTGTTGTTCAGTCGCAGTACGTTCCAGTAGTCGACCCATCGTTTTAAACTGAACACTTTCTTCTCCTACTTCATTGGTGTTATTAGTGTTGCTGGGGTAACGTTTTTGGCTAGGTGATTCTTTTATCCCAGTTTCCTCTAGACTCACAGAGGTTGTCTTGGGTCAGTGGTGCTCCTCTGTGAGTCTACAGTGATTGGATTCCCCCTCCCCACCCCCAGATCTGGATGTAATCCATCTGGAGCGTGGCCTGGGCGCTGGGATGTTTTTTTAAGGGCTGCAGGGGATGGTGATGGACAGCCCTGCTTGAGAGCCGCGGTCACGACGCAGGGGTCGGCAGGCTGGCCTGTGGGGGAATCCCTGCCTGCCTGGGTGTACGCTGTTCTAGGGCGTGAAGTTTTCTTTAAATACGGTCATGACCTGTTTACGGGTCATCTCAGACCGCTTGCACGCGAGAGCGGCCGTGGGGTGTAGTCGGTAGCAGAGACCGTAGGACTCGCACACCCTGGAGAATCTGCTCCCTAGTCGTGTCAGTCACCGTTCTCTAGAGTAGTAGAACCCATAGGATGTGTGTACTCTAGGGAGAGATTTATTTTCAGGAATCCGTTCTTGCAGTGATGAGGGCTCGCAAGTCCAAATCTTCAGAGCAGGCTGGCAGACTGGAGACCCAGGGGCAGGCTGATGTCGCAGTTTGAGTCCAAAGGCCATCTTCTGGCCGTGTCCTAGATGGCCTTTTGTCTGTGCCTGTGTGCCTTGGGTCTCTTCCTTGAAGGACCTGATCATGTTGGATCACGGCCCCCCGATGACCTCATTTAACCTTCATTACCTCTTTAAAGGCCCTGTCTCCAAATACAGTTACCCTGGGGGTTAGGGCCTTAACATGAATTTTTAGGGATACGATTCAGTCCCCAGCTCTTGTCCTTTATAGAAAAAGTAGTAGAGAGCCAGTATTCTGTGACGAGTGATTGAGATCGTGAGCACTGACGGCAGGCGGGTCTGGTTGTCAGTTTTGGTTGGCTCTGCTCCCGTGAGCTGGGTATTCTTGGATACTCAATGCTGCCATCCGCTCTGTTCTCACTGTGACAGTGGAACAGCAAAATCCCTCATACCCTCATCTCAAGAGTTCAGTGATGAACTTCCGGGTCAGGCGCTGCCGCTCAGGGCTCAGCACACAGCATGTGCCCAGTGAATGGTGGCTACCAGGGCACCTTTGCTCAGAGCTCGCGAGTCCCCTCCCCCCCCCCTCCAAGTCCCAGGTGCTCACGGCCTTCTCCCGGCCCCCAACCCCTTTCAGAGCCCCTGTGCACGCGCTTCATGGACTTCGTGTGCAAAAACCGCCAGCAATGCCTGTTCCACTCCATGGTGTGTGATGGGATCGTCCAGTGTCGCGACGGCTCCGACGAGGACGCGGCGTTCGCAGGATGCTGTGAGTGGGGTGGGGAGGGGCCGGAGGCCTCGGCGACACTGTGAACGGCTGGGCCGCTCTGCTTCAGGGGTCTTGCTTGACCATCTAGTCCGGCCCTTTCTGAGAAAGACTTACCTTTGTTGCTTCAGAATTACTGCTCTTTGGTGGTTGGTGTCCATATAAGGGGAAGGTGTGGAAGGACCAGGGTCTTGGCCCAGATAGCCCCTTCTCCGACTGGCCTTTCCCATGCACCCGTCCCTCTACAGTGCCCTTGCCTGGCTGCGGGGTTCTTCCCAGCACTGGTGACCACTTGGCACACCATGCATTTAGTGGATCGCCTGTCTCTCCTGGCTGGAATGTGACTTCATGAGAGCAGGGCCTTTGTCTCGTGCTCTGCTGTAGCCCTGCTTCTAAAACGGCCCTGCCTGTGGTAGCGACTCGTACTGGTCTGCTTGGGCCGCCATCACCAAATACTGCAGCCCAAGTGGCTAAAACAACAGAAATGCCTTTTCCTGCAGTTCTGGAGACCACAAGCTTGAGGTCAAGATGTCGGCACCATCTGTTCTTTTGTGTTCCCCGTCCTTGGCTTGCTGATGGCTGCCTTCTTTCTCCCTCAGTGTCCCCTCTGTGCCTGTCCATGTCTTGCTTTCCTTTTCTTATAAGGACACCAGTCCTATTGGATTAGGGCCCACCCTAATGACCTCATTGAACTCAATCACCTCTTTGAAGACCCTGTTTCCAAATACAGTCACCTTCTGAGCTACGGGGGGTTAGGATTTCAACTGGTTTTTACCATCAGGGAACCCTGTAGCCGGCCTGTCTGTTGGTGGAGGACAGTTTGCTTTTTCCTCTTGTTTCTAAGCAGTGTCCCACGTTGAGCTCTTCAGTATGGCAGTAACCTGGAATTTACGGATGCTTGTTCCTTATCTAGCCCAAGACCCCGAGTTCCACAAGGTCTGTGATGAATTCAGTTTCCAGTGCCAGAATGGAGTGTGCATCAGCTTGATTTGGAAATGCGACGGCATGGATGACTGCGGTGACTACTCCGATGAAGCCAGCTGTGGTAAGATCTTGGCTCTTTGGCCTCTTGTCCCTAATCTCCGGGTCACAGTGACTGACACCTGTGGTTAAGGAGGCCGTTCTCAGCCCCACTCCTGTGCAGCCTCGGCCTTCTCCTTCCTCAGCGCTGGTTCCTGCTAGCTCTCGAACTCTGTGTAAGGAGTTGAGTCTTGAGGCTGCAGCCTGCCTCTAGTCGGTGTTGGGGGTGTTTATGCTGGTTCCTTTTCTTCCCCCCGTCGGGAAGTTCGCGTGATGTCTAAGAAATATGGAAGAGGAATTACGGTAAATCTTTTGGAGAGTGCTTCCCTCTCCTCCCCTAAAAGTTACAGATTTCACAGCTTTACGGAGTCATTGTCCCCGTTGGGTTAGAGTCTGTAGTCCCATCAGTCCTTTGGTAAAGGTCAAAATGAAAAAGTTGGGTATTATTTGTAAGAACCAGAAGCTTGGCTCAGAGACGCACTGAGTTGGGATCCGGGAAGACGGGCTTGGGTCCAGGAAGCCGCCTTCCCCAGATCTGGTAGGATTGTGCAGGCTGCCCCGGGACTTGGGCCTTGAGGAGGCTGTGTCTGTCTGGTTGGCATGTATGTTCACGCTGGTGCAGGGCAAACTGACTGATGGTGTGGTTCATCTCCCCAGAAAACCCCACAGAAGCCCCGAACTGCTCCCGCTACTTCCAGTTCCAGTGTGAGAATGGCCACTGCATCCCCAACAGGTGGAAATGTGACAGGGAGAACGACTGTGGCGACTGGTCTGATGAGAGGGACTGCGGAGGTGAGGGGTCCTGGGTTAGCCTGTCACCAGGACACGCCAGCACACGGGGCTCCCTTTCCGCCCAGAATTGAATTTGGTCTCCTTGGTGCCGGGCTAATTCAGAGATTTGGGGGACATAACTCTGAGTTCTTTTCTACCCCCTCCCACTTCAAAGCAGCGTGGTTGGTTTCTCCTGTTCCGAGGGGCCCGCATGCCATATTTTGTAGGCCACGGTGAGTACTCTGGAAAGCGGCAACTCCAGGCGTGGCCTGCAGACCAGCAGCGTCCACATCTGCTTGGGGCTTGTAAGAAATGCAGTTTCCGAACCCCACCCCAGGCCCCCCTTCTGAGTCAGAATCTGCCTTGTATCAGATTTCTAGGTGATACGGGCGCCGTGTTGCCCCCGAGGAGCACGGGTGTGGGCCGCATGCTCATTACTTTCCTTTTGGGTGTTCTCCTCTCTCAACTAGGTCTTAGGGGAGCTGCTGTGGGGTTGTAACCAGCACAGTGCGTAGCCTCCGTGGGAGTTCTCCCATCTACCCTGCCCGTTGAGTCACCTTCCTTCCATCAGCCTGCAAAAGTATCGAGCTCCTGTTGAGCCCCTGCAAAAGCAAACTCATTCAAATGTTAGCCCAAATCAGAGAATAGGGGTTAGGCAAATCTGCTCCAAAAAAGGGAGGAGGTTGCTGTCTATTCTGAGACCCCATTATAAATGATTTTTCGATGAGCTGCTATTCCGAATCGTGCCTGGCGCTGGCCTCCCCGGGGCAGGGGCAGCTCAAACGGGAAGTCCATGCTAAGTCTGGGACACATTTCGGTCTGAGATTGAGCGTCTTGTAATACTTGGCGTGTTGTTGTTTGCTTGTGTTTTGCTCAGATTCACATATTCTTCCGTCGCCCACTCCCGGGCCCTCCACGTGTCTCCCCAATTACTACCGCTGCAGCAGCGGGGCGTGTGTGATGGACAGCTGGGTGTGCGACGGGTACCGGGATTGCGCAGACGGCTCGGATGAGGAAGCCTGCCCCTCGCCTGGTGAGTGCTGGCCCTCCCGCTCCCGTGGCACCTGCCTTTGTGGAGCAAACCTTCCAGGGGGACGCCCTGGGCACAGCGGGGCCACGCTCAGTGCACCCCCTGCCTTCTGGGACCCTGTGCTCTGTGGCCCCGGGCTGCTGCTCACCCCCAGAGCTGGGAGACCTGGGGCACTCAGAGCTGCAGGGTCGCCTCTCCTCTAACTGCCTTCTCATCTTCCTGCACGAAAAGGTCAGCCGCCCTGCTTTCCACCCTGGCTGTGGCTGGGCCACCTTTGCTTCCTTCTCCGCAGGAAATTACGATGGGAATTATAGGGGAAGTGTTTGGCAGTGTGTTAAACTCTCAAGGGGGAGAGCCTGATTTTCCTGCCGGCTGGTTGGCGGCCGTCCTGCTAAAGGAGGGTAGGCACTGCCATCTAGTGGCCAGACCCAGAAAGGCATCTGATGGCATGGGCTGTAACCATGTTGCCCCAGGCAGGAGTCAACCCAGAGACCCCGACTAGTGCCTTCCCTTAACTGTAGGCAGAACAGAAGTAAGGGTGCTGAGTCCTTTCCTGAGCGGGATTCTGTTTCAGATGCGCTTAGAGTAAGAGAGGAGACAGTTGTTCTCTATACTTTGCAGATCCTTTTCCTAGCAAATTTCTAGGCCAGCGATCATTTTCCTCCTTTAAAACAAATTCATCCCGTTGCTTCACTGTGTGAAATCATCAGTGGTTTTCTCTTGTCCAGAAGAGACATCCCAACCCTTGAGTCCTGTTTTCAGGGTCCTTCCTTACCTGCCGTTACTTGGCATATCTGCCAAGCCGGGCTGCTCATCCTGTCTGGACAGACCTGCTTCTTCTCCGTTGATACTCCCTCAGCAAAGTTTCTGTCTTATCAGAGATCTCCATCCTCCTTGACTTTGCCCTCCCACTTGCCCCCCTCTGTGAATCCCACTGTCCATCGCAGCAGACAGAAGCATGGATTTTGTAGCTAAAAGAGACCTTGATATGTCACCAGTGTTTATCAAAGTACGGAACAGAGACCACCATAATGGAATCCCTTGGGGGTGTTTGTGAGAATTACAGAATTAGGATTTCTGCGTGGAGCTCAGGAGCTCGCCGTGTGACTGCTGGGTTCACTGGAGTTTGAGAGTCTCCTGCTTGTCCTCCCAAGCCGACCACCACGGAACGTTCACGGAGTCCTGTCATTGGCACGGATCTTTTTTTTTTTTTTTTTAAGAATTTTTATTTATTTATTTGACAGAGAGAGAGAGATCACAAGTAGGCAGAGAGGCAGGCAGAGAGAGAGGAGGAAGCAGGCTCCCCGCTGAGCAGAGAGCCCGATGCGGGACTCGATCCCAGGACCCTAAGATCATGACCTGAGCCGAAGGCAGAGGCTTAACCCACTGAGCCACCCAGGCGCCCCATGATCTCTTTCACAGTCTCATACCTACCTGTTGTCCTTTGGATTCTTCACTGCGATCTGCCATGTGCTGCTGCCTGATCATCTCAAGCCTGGGAATCTTTGTTTTCCAAGCGGTTATGCGGACCTCATATTTTGGGATCATGCCACACACTACTTTGAATCCCCCACTGTACTTATTACAGTAATAGGCACATAGTGTCCTATAAATGCTTCTCAAATTAAAACAAATTATAAAGAAAATTGTTACATCTCTATCCTTGGCCCCCTAAGACCACCTGTCTGTTTAGTGATTGGATTCTCCTCTGAAAATTGCCTTTGGGTTGTTAAGCCTTCTGAGCAGGGTATTAACACGCTCTAGCAAATTCTACTTAATGCAGAGAGCAGATTCCTATTTCCATCTTTCCTTCAGCTTCTGTGATTCCTTTTGTATGTATGTCACCAGTGCAAATTAACTTGGGTTGTTTCCAGCTCTCGGATCTGGTTTCTGCACTGCGAGTCTCCTAACTGGTCTCTGGGCCTTGTGCCTCTCCCCTTTACAGTTTACCTTCTGAGAGGCCGCATACGGATGCATGATCATGCCTTCCCCAGTCTGGAACCTTCTGGCGGCCCCCTTAGTGTGTAAGCATCAGTGCTGTGATGTGCCTTGTCTTGGCTTTCTCACCTCATTTTTTACCACTTTTCCCCATGTACCCTGTTTCAGCAGAGGGGTTCTAGGCGTAGGAGATGTCCCTTGGAAATTCTGGTTAAATCCCAGATTTCTCTACCTCATCCTTCCTTTCCCTCTCTCCCTCTCTCTCTTTTTAATCCCAATTTTTGGTAGATCACATTTTCCAGAAGGTTCCCTGGGAAAGAGAATGTAGGGAGCATCGTTGAGGTCTTGCTTTTCTGAAAGTGGTTTTCTTCTGTCTTCAGATGTGAGTGATAGTTGTTGATCTGGGTTTGGAATTCTAGGTTGTCGATAATTCTCCTTCAGAATTTTGAAGGCGTTACTCCACTGTCAACCAAGCAGCTTCTCTTTCTTCCTGGAACTCTCATCATTCATACATTAGATCCACTGCTGCGGTCCTGTCACCTTTGTATTTTTTAATTGATTTCTTTTTTTTCCCCCTCTATTTCCTGGAAGATTCAGCTCTATCTTCCAGCTCTGCTCCCGAGTTTTCCATTACAGTTACCGTGGTTTTAATTTTAGGAGCTTTGACTTTCCAGTACTCTTCTTTTTTCATGGCATCCTGTCCTTTTTTCATGCAGAAATAATATTCCTCTGAGCATATCAAGGATATTTATGTTCAAGGTTTTCTTCTTACAGAGTCTCTATTTCCTCCAGATGTTCTTTTTTGCAGGGAAAGGGTCTGTGCTCGTTGCTGTCTTTCACGTCAAAGGTTTTCCCCAGATAATCCTGGGTTGCTTGCTTGTGTTTAAGGGTGGGGACAAAAACACAAGAGATTGTGCCCACGGGTAGGTGTGTCAGCTTTGAGTTTCATGGTCAGGCTGGTTGCTGGGGAACTTGATCTGGTTTGCCTGAGGATTTGTTCCCTAGGCTGCTCAGTTTCCCTAGAGAAGATTTTTACAATCCCCTGCCTAAGGAATAAAGGTGTCCTTGCCAGAGCTTAGGAGGATGGGGATCAGGATCCTCCCATTTAGCGATCTGTGGGTTTAACCCCTTCTCTTCAGTATGGCATTCTTGCTGGTCACTGGGCCCGTCTAACCAGCCCTTCTTATCCTCCATGTAGCAAGCTTCCAGGCTTCAGTAGGGGTGATGTCTGGGGCGACCGTCGTGTGGGGGGCGGGTAGGAGTGAAGCACATAGGGAATCTTCTGCTGCTCAAACACTCTTCGGTCTGTTCCCTTCCTGCCTTTCTCCCTCTTTTCTGCCAGTTCACAGATACCATTTTCCAGCTTTTTGAAGATTCTCTGATACTGATTTTACAGGTTCTTTGCTTTTTGACGTGACGGGATGGGGTCCAGCCTCTTCTGATCCCTACTTACCCCTGTCTGTGTCCCAGCTTCCAAAATCAGACAGCTGTGTCCGGTCGATCCACCTTCCCTACCCAGAGCTCACAGTGGCCTCCAGGCCCTGTCGCCGTTCCAAGAGTGCTGTGGCCCCATCACCATTCCAACAGCGCTGTGATTTCCCAAATTTCCCCACTGCATTGAGTTGGTTGCTCCTGCTGACCAGCCCCCTCACTACTCAAAAGTGAACTTTCAAAACCTTTTCTTCCAGCAAATGTCACGGCTGCCTCTGTTCCCACTCACCATGGGCACTGTGACCGATTTGAATTCGAATGTCGCCAACCAAAGAAGTGTATCCCAAACTGGAAACGCTGTGATGGCCACCAAGATTGCCAAGATGGCCAGGATGAGGCCAACTGTCGTGAGTAATTTCCGATCACTGCTCAGGGAGGATTTCTGGAGAACAGGAGAAGACCCCATTACTCCTGCTTTGTTTCTCATAATAACCTTGGGACTTGGGGATTATCTCCATTTTAGAGATGGGAAAATCAGCTTCAGAGATCACCTTTTCAGTGTCAGCCCGGGATATTTATTTAGTAGTTGTTTTTTGTTTTTCCTTGTTTTTGTTTGTTTGTTTTTGTTTTGTTTTTGCACAAGGTTGTGATCTTATCATCATGCCACATTCAAAGTTCTTATCGTGGAATACTCTGAAATAACAGAGGGAAATGAGAGAGTAGGGTAAAATTCAGATGGACCTTTGGGACCTCAGAATAACAGGGCAGATCGATCCCACATTTCCCAAACTCATAGTAGGAACATTTCAGCCAAATAAGTAACTGCACAGTAAGACGAACACTGAACATAATTAACAGAGGAAATGAAATAGGATCCTCCTCCTGGGTGAGATTAATTGGCATTCTTTTTTTTTTTTAATTATTTATTTTTTTTTTAATTTTTAATTTTATTTTTTATAAATATATAATATATTTTTATCCCCAGGGGTACAGGTCTGTGAATCGACAGGTTTACACACTTCACAGCACTCACCATAGCACATACCCTCCCCAATGTCCATAATCCCACCCTCCCCTCCCAACTCCCCTCCCCCCATTAACCCTCAGTTTGTTTTGTGAGATTAAGAGTCACTTATGGTTTGTCTCCCTCCC